TTCAAGTAACATCAGTATTTGTGAATACAGAATCAACGCTCGTATTAAATGTTGCTGAAGCTGTGAGTGGAGAACTCAAAGAAAATTGGACACTCGGTTTGATAATGGAATTGTGATTGGTACTGTTGAAATATTGACATCTCGACAAATTCATGAAGTAAGCTGTTTCTCAATGCTGCCATAGACAAGACTTAATTGATTCTATAGCTATATGGTATAACTTGGACAACTGATCCCAGCCGTTCTCTCTTTTACTACGAAGCGAACGATAATGCCACGTTTTATGTATCTCAAAATCTAAACTATTTGCCAAGTTTCAACGAGTCTACTTGTGGCGCTCAGGAGTCAAATGTTCGTGAAGCATGTGACATCCCTCTAAACTCGACTAATTCATCACAATGGTCATCCGCTCAGCGAACTTGCTATTATGATGCTGCTATGACCAAAGACTTTTCTTTTGTACGTGCTTCACGACAAGCAGCTGAAGAACAAGTCGAACAATGTGAATCTCTTTGCAATCCACCCAAGTTCAAATTCGATCTGTCTCTTACACATTCAGTACAAATCGGTCAACAGGTAAGTCTATTCTTTCAAGCAACTAGAGAATTTAATTCGATCATTGTTTACAAACTTCTACGTGGTCCGATTGGATTAACTTTGAATGAAGAGACCGGTAGATTTGAATGGAAAGTACCAGATGAAACTAAAATCTGCAGCTAAATTCCTATAAAAGTCAGCGCGACAGATGGAAAATACAATTTAATATCAACATATGACGTTGTATTAGCAGTGCAATCCAAGAGCAACGCACAGACAATAGCAAGTTCAATATTTTTACTTTTCTTGGTAATATCACTTCAACCATTATGTATGAATTCCAAGAAATAACATTAAAAACAACCTTATTGTTTCAACACATCGATGTTTACGGCCTTTCTGCATAGCTTTTCTCGAAAAAAATCACAATAAAACATATTAATTAAACTTAATGGTCTAGTTTTTCCTGTCACTGTTATCCATTGTTCGAAATGCAATACGCAAAGAAAATATTTTTTTTTTTTTGAAATACTCAAATGTCTTGTAAACACGCATACGTATTTTAATATCGTCTCAAATGTAAATGACCGAATCGCAGATAATAGTAGATATGGATGTACTTGAAGGACGATGATTTGGTCATCACACAATCTCACATTCACACTCACACCACATAGTCAAAAAAAGCTTTATTGAGACTTGTTTGTTTGCTGATGATGAAATAATAATTGTCTAAAATATTCTTAGAAAACTATTCTGTTTGTCCATATTTTCTAACTTTTTCTTATTTGAATAATAATTTTAAATCAAATACTAACAATAACTTATCACACTTTACCTAACATGATTACTATAAATATATATAAAAAACATTTAGACAACAAACATAAATATGAATATATTCAAAACTTAAGAGAGAGAGAGAGAAAAAAAAAGAACGTCAATGAATAAACTATCACCGGTATTATTTGAAATAATAGTTGATAATTTTAATTTAATGTTGGTATTTCAATACGAATAAAATTATTATTAACAAAATTAACACGTAAACGATTATAATCATATGTATAATCTCGTGGTAAACGACATAGACGTGATGTTGAATGTACAATTATTTTATTTTGTTGTTGTTCTTCTAATACATTTTTTTCTTTTTGTTCAATAAAAATTTTTAATATATTTAATTGTGGATCAGATTGAATACGTATTGCATCTGTTAATGTTTCAAATGGTAAACGAAAATAATAAATAAGTATTGGTGGAATATCATTACTAAATGAATATTGTCCATCTGATATATTTAATGAATCATTTTTATTCAATGAATTAAAACGATTGATTATATTTTTTGTATGATTATATTTTTCAGATGATAATGGTTCACCAACATGGATGACAGTTCGATTATTATCTAGTTTTTCAATTTTATTATTTATAATTGAGTTGTTGTTGTTGTTGGATGTGTATGATTTTGATGATGTGGTGTCTTGTTCCAAACCTATTTTAAAAATCGCATGATTAAAATTGAATCAAAAAAAAAAGAAAGAAAATAAAGCTTAAACAATACTGACAATAAATAAATACATAAACACACCGTGCTGACAAAAAAAAAGTAATGGAGATTTCATGATGAAACAAGTCATACTAACCCAATCAACAATTGATTTTAGATAACTTAGTAGTGCTGAAAGAATACCCAAAAGTGAATATACACACAAGAAAGATTAAAACAAACGTATAAAAAGTTAGTTCAAAAAAGAAAAAAACTACTTGCTTGTTGTTTTAACATGTCAATAAAGTCAATAACGAATTTATTACAAAATTCAATAGAATTTTTTTCAAAAGAAACATCGTATAATGATATAACTAGAGATTCTTTATTTTGGATTATAAATCTTTTAGAAATTTAGAACAAATTGAATCTCGATAAATATTAGATCTATGTAAAGTTCGAATAAACTATCAAACAAGAATCAGTTCTTATCAAAAAATTTGTTCATCATGCTAAAGTAATACTCATTTATAATTATCAATAGTTAACGATAATCAGATTGTATTTATCATTCTGATTTATGTATATTCCATGTCAATTGTCAATGTTAGATTCAGTCTAATCTCACATCTAACGAAACATTCAAATAATATTGGTTATATATTGATAATCTATCATAGAATATTGATCATTCTTTTTGTTTTTTTTTATCAAAATAGTTGACAGATAAATTTTGAATTAGATATTCTTGTAATAGAAAAATAAAATTTTCACTTAGATACTTCACACTAACGAGGGAATGATCCCTTTCAATTTCAATGAATCTTGCGCATATATATATATACGAAATAATATTCTAATCAAAACTCTAATAGAAGTTGAGTTTCTGTTGCGACTTGATCATTCTATTCTTCAGAAACCTATACACAATTCGAAAACAACACTTTTTCGAGAGTCTCGGATTCTATACAAGTGCATGACAAATAGCCAATAGCTACTTCAAATGTCAATAAGAACTCAAATTCTTTTAAGGTTTTCATTAGAAGGATTACAAAAAATTCGATCTGATCCAAAATGCCGAATGTGACTTCCCTTTCCATTCACAGTTCCAATCACACATCACAAAATGTAGCAATTAATAAAAGAAATAACGTTTTTTATAATAACTAATGCAGTTAATTTAAGTCCGAGCCGAAATTTCGACCTCTCCATTGGTATACTATGTAATAAATATGGACGAAAAAAAAAATCATTGAAATCAGAAGAAGACATCTGGAAAGACTCTCTTGTGAGCATGATTTAAAATTTTGAAAAAGAAAATCAAATGCTTCAGCTATACTGTAAATATTTCTGTACTTGAGCATAGTTTTATTTTTTCGGTCTGCTGAAATTATAATAGAATTGAATAGTTCGGAATTCATTTCAGATAGAATTATGACAACCATGACTTAGAATAATTAGCTGTAACTATCTGGTCATGTTGAGCTTTTTTCTTCTACATAGACCTGATTCTATGCTAAACAGAGTTCATATAAATTAAATTATTATTTCATAAATAAATCTAACAAGATTATGTAATCATGAAATATCCTTTTTTTTTTCTAAATAGATCTATGGTTATATGAATTTCTATTCAGACATCAAGAGGATAATTTCCTCATGCGTAGAATCTGACTTGCTTTTATTAAACAGACGAAATGATATCTATAAAAAAAAAATCCGATTTATTATTATCAATCATATACTCTTTAATGAGAAAACTCAATTATAATTTTGAGTTTTTTTTCTATTAACATAAATTCATTTAAAAATGATTAATTTTTATTTCACATTATAATATAATTTATTTGTTTTTTAAAATTTAAGTTCATTCATCAGCCTACCTCCTCCATTATCTTTTGTCGATGTTAACTTTGAATTAATTGATGATGAAGCATTTTTTAATTGTTCTTGTTCAATACGTTTCTTTTTTTTAATTTCTTTCCATGCCCATAAATGATATTTTCCTTCAACAATTAATTGTCCATCTTCAGTTAAATAAGCAACTATTGTTTCATCATCAACAATATCGGGTACAAATAATTCAGTTTTTAATTCATGTTTACGATAATTTCCACGTTTATCTGTTGGTTCAATTGTATGACAATGAATTAAAATTTTTGGTCCTTCTAATTGTACACTTATATCTGATGTATCATATGTTTTACCAATTGGTACACGCATTTCATATAAATTTACTTCATCATCATCTGATAACGAATCATTAAACGATAGATTACGTGCTAAATTATTAGTTTCTTCCGTTAAACCATTAATCACATCTTCCATTAATGAAGCTGATGGTGTAAATGGTACAGATTGATTTGAAATATTTGATTGAACTGGAAGATAATGATTAAATGATGAACGTCGTTCATCTAATGATTCACATGATGAACTTAATGATGGTTCACGTCGTCGTTGTACAACAGGTCGAACAACAATTCGACGTGATGATTCACGTTTAATGGGTTGTTGTCGACGAAGTTTACAAGACCCTCGATTATCTGTATAATTAATTGATGGTGGAGGGGGAGCATATACAAAACTATTTCCTGATGATGATGATGATATATTACCAACAGGCATGATAGGTTGCTAAAATAAAAACATCAATATTTTATTGTTGTTATTGTTTTCTTTTCTTTTTTTACATATTCATATTAATTACTTACTGGTAAATACGTTCTAAACTTTGGTTGATAATTTTGATGTCCAATATCATTTGTTGTAGATCTTTGTGGATAAGTATGTTTTAAAATAGGAGGTGGTGGAGGTGGAGCTATATATTTCATATGATCTATTGAATGCGATCGTGAATAATTAGGAATAGATGATGGTGATGGTTGTGGTCGATTTGTATATCCATGACCATGTATTTCAAGTGAAGGAAGAATTGTTAGTGGATGTGATGAAGATTGTGGTGAAACAAGATCGAGTGAACGACTACCTATACGATTAAGATTTGATGACGTAAGACGTGTTTGTGCTTGTAGTTGTGCTATATGTTGTTGCTGTTGTTGTTGTTGTTGTTGTTGTTCTATTCGACGATATTGACGATCTAATGCAAATAATTCTTCAACAGATAGACCCAATGGTCGTTGTGCAGACGATTGAGAAGAGGTGACCAACATGTTGCGCTGTCGTAAGTAAAATTTATTGTTCGTATGTTCGAATCATATAAAGAATGAAAAGAAACGAAAAAAAAAACGGCCGAATAACACATCTCTTTCTCTTCCTCTCTCTCTCTCTCCCTCAGTCCTTTTATTAAACAAACTAACGAAACTCACCCAACGAAAAGGATAGAAAGAAGAGAAAAACAGAACAATAGATGTGGCCGAAGCAAAAAAAAAGAAGAGAAGCAAAAAAACCTCTAAGAATCGTCATCTCTTCCGGCCGATTGTACTCTTCGTTTTCTCTTCTCTATGCCTTCTAATTACTACTCCATAAAAAAAAAACGACGAGAAAGACATGCTCTTATAAATCGACGTAATGGCACACGTTACTATTTCTTCTATGTAAAGAACAGCTGTCAATGCATACACAATAACGAATTCTCCGGTGTATATATACATACACATTGATACTGATTGCATAAATACCAATATGGTAGCAAGGCGTTATTGACAAGACATTACGAAAACGCCTGCGCACACACGTGCGCCAAAACTGTCGATTGACAGAACGAAAAAAAGAAAAGAAAAATTATTGTGATAATGATTCATTATATCAACAATAATGAATATTGTGAAAGAAGAAAAAAACCATGTTATGCTTTTCTACAGCACCATTGTCATTAATAGCCATGAAATAAAACAAATCGTCGATTTTTATATATTGATTTTGAGTTATTTTTTGACAACACGTGCGATAAATCGATATTTACTTGTTTTTACATTCCTCACAGATTGTGTTAATAGTGCTGATTGTATTTTTGATTTTTTTTGCTACAATATGACGCGTTTAATACAAATCAAAATCGTGATTTGAATAACTAATGAAATTATCTATTCAATGCATTTCATAATTAACTATGACAGGAAGGTTTCAGAAAAAAAATTAAAAACCAGTAGTTTTTAGCTACCAAAAGCTATTTTTTATCAGTACAATTTTCTACAATCTTCGTTTAAAAGGTGATTAGCATTACAATGAGAAATTTATTATAACTTACCTAAAAATTGTATTTTGCATGTGATATTTATAATTTTATAAGAGAAAGGTCATCGAAAAAGGGACAACTCATCATTTTATTCACAGTTTTGTGGTGTTTTAAGATAATACTTCTTAAAACTAATTTTCATATATTCTTCTAGAGTCTGAAAACTACCATTTTTGAATTTTCAGAAACATGTGTTTCATCGTTCATCTATGAAATGCAATTAATATGTTGTACAAAGGCTATTGTAAGGAGATCACTGCATCTTTCATGATCTTTCCTTAAAAATCGACTAAAAACAACTTTTTTTTTCAGTTTTCATGATATTTTCTAAGTGCAAGTTTTCGTTTTCTTTAGCATGTTTTTAGAACTTGAAAACTATCGTACCCGCTTTTGTTTTTAGAGACTTCATCATCATGCAGATTTAAATTAAATGCTTAACATTATAGAAAAATATGTATTTTATAAAATTTTTCTTAAAAATTTTATCTTCATGAATCAAGTCAAACTTGAATCTATCATTATCAAACGAGAATTGCTTTACTAGTCAGTCAATCTAAATTTATTTTCAATTTGAATGAACATTATTCATAAAAAAACAAACAACAACACCTATGATAATGATATTTTTATTTATGATTAACAATATTTTTTTTTTTATTCAGTTGACTTCTGATCACAATTACATTATGATTTTGTTTTTCTCTATGTATAGATGCATTACATTATAAGTTCTTTATTTAAAAAAGAAACGAAAGAAACTGAGAGAACATTGATATATATATATTTATATATAATTGTTTTTTTTTTTTATGAATTAGTTTCTTGTTCGCCTGTTTTAGTACTTTCTACAGAATCATCATCATCATCACTTGAATCTTTATTTCCATCTCGATATGTTTCAATTAATCTAGAAAGACAAAAAAGAAAAAAGAAACAATATTAAAAAAAAGAGAAATTTTTATTCAATTCATACTTCGATTTTTTTGATAGATCATTTGTATTATCTTCGGTATCCGAATCATTTTTTGAATGAGATCGTTTACGAATACGATTTATTGAATTTGACGTCGAAGAAGAGTCTAATTCATTGGTATCATTTTTAGCCTAAGAAAGAAAAAAAGAAGTAATATTATTTTTATAAGGCAAAAAATAAAAAGAAATAATTTCGAAAAGAAAAAACATACAGCTGTATTAATATTTGATGATGATTGTTGGCGTTCAATTATTTGTATACGTGATTGCAATTCTTTACATAAATTAGCACAATCATTTGCAGAAGCCTAGAATGAAAAACAAAACACATATATATATATTTATTAATAAGAAAAATAAATAAAAAAACAATATTTACTTTAATAACAAATATTCGTAAATGGGATTCATCTTGAGCACCAAATCGTACTGATCGGTCTGTCGCTCGTTCAACAGTCATTTGTGAAAATATGGGAGAATTAAGAATAACACGAAATGCTTTATCAAGTCTCATGACTAAAATAAAAAAAATTTTCATTTTTTTTTTAGTTTTTGTTCTCTATACCTATAAAAATCAAATAAATCATTAAAGATAAAAGAAAAAAACGTTTTTTGATGATAAATATCAAAATATGTGCAAAGTCATTCTCAATCACGATAAGTCTGTCTCATTGAGGTTAAACTTTCTACTATTTATAATAGAAGTACTTTAGATGATTAACTTTATTTTTTTTATTGGTTGAAAAAGAAAAAGATGCACTACTACGTTTTTATTTGAACGAAAGAAAATAAGATATAAGCAACTCAAACACTGTTTAATATCTGTAGAAGATTTTGAATCCATATTGTAACTGAGAAAGTGAAGAGAAGATTTTTCATCGTAAATATCTCGTATTGAGGAACATTGAAGAGTGTAGAATCTATGAAAATTTTTGTTCGAAAAAAAAGTTTGCTAATGAGCTTCTTTCCAAAAGTAGTCGTCGATTACGTTATGACATACACCTGCTTTTGTAGTTAGTTAATCGAGAATTTCGAGTCAGGCCAGTCTTTTTTCTAGATTTACTTCGAGCTATAGTTTTACGAAAAGACAATAGATTAGTGAATCTACCACTAAGTGATATCTCAATATTTTAAAGTAGCCGAAAGATATTGAACTTATCTAGATAAAATTTATCGGTTTGTGTCGACACTTCAAATGACATAAACTTGATTAATATCTTTATGTTTTTTTTTTGCTAATTCAACAACTATCTTAATTGTTTATTTTTGTATTAGCGACTTCATTTGTCTAAGTGAATGATCAATTTAAAGCAAAACTCTTTATTTCATATTGATTATTTATATGACAATGTTTACTTGATATATAATATTAGTACATGAAAAAATTGCTAAAGAGCAATGATATTGTCATTTTCTGTATTTACGAAAGCAAATTAGGCTTAAAAACTGAGAAAAATTATCATCTTTATTTGATATTAATAAAATAAGAATTTCAAGAATTACATCTTCTAATAAATCTATAACTTTAGGTACACTCGAAAATCTAGAAATAATCATACATCACAAACAGTAATTGTTATAATAATATAGGAAATATTGACGGAAGAAAAAAATACAAATATTTAATATAGAAACAAAACTGTTATGAACAAATATTTAGAACAATTAATCAAAAAGATTCTTTCTTAGTTTACTCATGCATTATTCATCATTTTGTGCAACCGCATGAGACATATGAATCGTCGTAGCTTTTCTAGCATGATGATCATCTCTAATCGACACCTACTTTGAAGTATTAAAGATTGATAAATGTCTTGATAGTGTGAAAATTTGTATTTTTTAGCTACTCAAGTGAAAAAATATGGATTGAAAATTTTGAAAGTACAGATCCGATGATCGACTCTATCCGTTTACGATCAGGGACTTTATTTCACTTATCGTCTAGAACTACGAATAAAATTATCTTACTCAATCGTGCATGTAATTTATTCCAATCAGATGGATCATGACTTTCATTTATTTTCAAAATCCCATAACCACGTTCAGCATATTGTTGTTGTTCAGGATGATACATATATAATTTGCCTGCCATCTATATTATAAAAATTTCGAATATAAAAATGTTTTGTTTGTTTTTGTAAATCAAAATAAAATTTTCAAACCTGAAATTTTGTTACTTCATGTTCTTCACCGGTTGATGTATCACCTTGAATATTAACTATTGGATGAGTTGATGCTCGTTTAGCTTCATATTCAGCTGCCGTTTCAAATAATGATGGTGTTGTTTTATTATTATCATCATCATCATCATCATCATCATTATTATCTTCTTTATCTTCTTCATCATCTTCATCTTCTTCATCGTCATCTTTATTTCTTCTATCATTCTTCAATACACTTGATGTCGTAGTACTTGATCCACCAAATAATGCTTTGCTAAAAAACAAATAGATTATTTAAAATTTCATCTATTCTATTTTGTAAAACAACATATAACACATTGAATAGTAAATTTTTCATCAATTCTCTAGAAACCATGTAACATTTAATGAATGATATAAACAAATACTAGACAAAGTATGTCTATATTAAATTTAACTTAAAATTAGTTCAATGTTTTGCTTAGTACCCAAAATAAATTTTGATTTTTATAATCTTTCGAATTCTATAATACTCTTGTCAGGATCAAAGATGATCACTAGTTCAACTATTTCACAAAATCATATGTTACTAAGTTTTATAACTATAAAAATTTATTGTTTTATGAATTAAAATGCGCCATAGAAAAATCAGTCAATCAATGTCTAAAGAAAAAAGCCAATTTTTTCGATCCCTAGAGGCAAAAAAGTATTTATCTGTCATTAATAAGTGTAGCATGTCTATCACTTGAGATATATATAGATCGTTCCTATACGACAGTAAAAAAAAGAGACTGCAGAAGTATAGAAAATTTTTAATTCTCATAACAGATCAAACATATATTAGATTTAAATCTATAGGAAACAAAAATCGATCTTTTGTCATAAACTATTCTTAGTATATGATCAATTCATTATTTATATACAGAAAATTTTTCATTGAAAACCTATTTATTATCAAAACTTGTATATTTTTCTGGTCTTAACTAGTCAATTTCATCATGACGCACTTTACCCTCAGGTGCAATATCAAAGAATTTCAAATATCATAAAAATAGTCATCTAATTCAAAAGAATATTTTCATTATTATATACTTTGAACTCAATGGAGCAAGTGATGCAGCTAACGATGTTGATGATGAACCAAAACCTCCACTAATTGTCGATGATAATTTTGAAACTGTACTTGTAAAATAACTTGTTGTTGTTGTTGTTGTTGTTGATGATGAAGCATTTTCACCATTTGAAGATAATTGTCCAAAATTATTAAAACCTGTACCATTTTGTTTAAATTGTCCAAATAGACGAACTGGTGTTGACATATTCATATTATCAAATGACGATGATGATGGTGATGGTGATGGTGATGTTTCCTTTTCTGTTTTATTATCATTTGTAGTAACAGTTTCAGCTAAATAATAAAATCGATATTTAATAGAATAATTAAAAATTTGAAATTATTACAGTTACCGTTGTCTGACATTGTGAAATAAATAAGAATTGTATCTTTTTTTCTTTTTTTTTTAAACAATTAATCAATAAATCTGATTCGTATTGTCAGACAAACCAATGAAAATATGTTTTAAAACTTTTTGAAATGACATCTATGTATACAATGAAGTCTATTACTAAGTATTTTGTAGACTAAGAAATAGAATTATGGTGATAATGAATAATAAGACTTTTTTTTTGTTTCTCAAATAATTTAGATAAAAAAAAGAAATCATATAATGGCATATCGTTCAAATGATGGATTTAATTTCTCATTGAAAGGAAATTCTGTTCAACCATCTGGAAATTTATCTGCACGTCCATCTAGTGCAAGAAATCATTCTCAATCAAAACAACCGATTAATCCTTCAAGAACAGGTAATCGAAAAAAATAAATAAATAAACATTCTTTTTTTTTTTGATTGTTTATGTATTTTAGGTAGTGCTAGAGATCATCGAATCAATACGAATATAAGTAGTGCTCGACAAAGGTAATTTCCGTTTCAAATAAATCTTTTAATAATTATATTTGTTCTTAATTTTAGACGACATAGTAATAGTGGTCAACGACCTGCTTGGCTTACATCACCAACACCAGATGTTAAACAAGTATAAAATTTATTTAACTTTTTTTTTAAAATTATTTATCACTGATTACTAAGTGATAAATTGTTTTGAAACTGGAGTTATAAGGGTTTATTGACTCACATAAAGGTATCGATGATATTAACTTGTAGAACAAAAAAAAAAGTTCAGAATTTTTTAATAAGTCTTTCAAAGATAGAAATTTTTTCTATGAGTTAATCTAATCAGTTTTTTTTATATGAACAAAGTTTCAAACCAAAATTCAGTAAACATTTGATTTTTTTAGCAAAAAAAAACGTCTACCGTCTTGAAAGCAATTTATTATTCGAAAAACCCCTTTTCCCGTTTGAATTTTCTGTGAACTTTCACTTAAATGATTAATTTTTTGTTTTTGAAAAAAGCATATCAAGATGAAGGACATGACCGAGTTTCTATTTCAAATAAAACTTTGTTACTTAATTCACAGCTTTGCAACAATATGAAAAGTCACAGTCAAGGTTGATTACGAGTATGTCTCATGAGCACAGGTCCTGAAGACACATCAATACATTTTTCGAAAACATATCCGTTTGTATGATGAATATAATTATAGATTTCTATATATACCGGGTGTCCCAAGAGTTTTGCGATATTTTTTATTTCGCATTTATCTCGACTTGAGAAAATGATAAAATTTTGATTTTTTTCTTAAAAGATGGGTCATGAAAAGCTCTACAAAAACTGTATAAAGAAATCTCTATTAACTGATTCTGATAGTTTTCCGATGCTTAATATGAACAACCTACATAGTGGTGCTATGTCCCACCGTATTAAGCATTGTAAAAAAATATTTGAAAGACTTTTTCGTTTCGCAATAGGGATTTGTTCATACAGATTGTGTAGGACGTTTGACAGCGTATCTTTGAAAAAAAAATATCAAAACTTTATCATTTTCTCAAGTTGAGATAAATGCAAAATAAAAAATGTCGCAAAACTCTTGCGACACAAGGTATGTATATGTCATTCATTGGTTAAAATCACAATCACAAAAAATATATTTTTTTATATTGAGAAAATTTTAAACTTCTTTGAAAATACAAGTTTCTTTTCATCAACTGTGACTTCTAAAATATTCGTGAATAGATACTTTAAAATAGATGCACACAACGTCATCAATAGCTTGTCATATGTTCAAAAAGGGGCAAAGACACTATTCATACAATAGAATCTTTAAATTTAAAAATGGTTCATCAGATCAGGCATGTACCGAAGGGAGGGGGCCCATGGGGTTCCGCTCCCCCTCTCAGGACTGAAGACGCCTGTAGGGGGTATAGGTATAAATTTTTTTCCCAACAAATTTTTGTAATTTTCCCATGGTGCCCCCCCCCCCCCCCCCTCTAAGGACTTTAGGCCCTCCCCTCAGAAAATTTCTGGGTACGTGCCTGCATCAGATTATCATTTCTTTTCAATAGACGTGACTAAGACACAAACTAGAAAAAACAAAAGTCAATCATTAGTATGGAACTATATAAAGATGTACAGAATTATTCAATTCTTCCTTGTAGGATAAGGTAATGGTAAGCACGTTGCACGGTATAGCAGAGCAGAGGTAAACATGCTGTAGGGTAAGAAATTTTTTGTTGTCAGTCAGAGTATAGAGCATGAAAAAAAAACGCTGATTGTGCACATTTTTACAAATACGACATAGAAGTGTCGAGAATTAATTTGTTTACTATCGAATTAGTAGTCAATAAAAAGAAAAATACGTCTTTAATCTTTTGGTATTTTTATATTACTTTGACATTGAATAAAAATATATCTTTCGAATGTAACTATAATTTAAATAATATATTTTCATAATATCATTATCGAGAAATTACTTGTAACCTTTATTAGTTAATGTAGAATAAGTTCGATAGAATATATGTAATACAGTTTAATCAACATTAACAAATAAAATTTTTGCAATATTTTTTTTTAATGTAGAAAGTGTCCGAAATTTTTCAGATTAACGTTTAAATCTTTAATAATTCATTACATAGAATGAAAGTTGGATTAATATTAATGAAAAAAAAAAGATACTTACTCATCCTAATATCAATAGAAGTCGAACAATGTTCAACATGAATCAGAATTTTTATAATCCCAGTCGCCGGCTCTTTTTGTTAATCATTATTCTCTCTCTTAAGAAAATAAATTATTATATCCTTTTATTCTTCCTTTTAATTTTGTCGTTGAAAACAAAATATATATCCTTGATATATCATGATGAGGACAGTGTTCTCTTATAGATATTTTAACTGAAAAGAACATGCAATATGTCTTTTTGTATTTGCAAAATATTCAGATTGAAAGTTCATCTCAAAATCCAAAAAAAAAGAAAACATTTTTGTAATCCAAGTCGAATATTAAAACTAATACTGACTTTTTCTTATCTTAAAGTTGATCTTGATACTTTGTTAAAAAATTAGATCCAACTATAATAATTTTCAATTTTAAAGTATAAAAAATATTACTTAACTTTTAGTCTACATCAATATCATCGAATGAATTTCGTATAACAAATTCTCAACATGATGATGTCGATGCATTTTTTACTGATCGTGAACAACAACAACAACAACAACAATATTCAATAAAACAAAAAACTGATGACGATGAATGGGATGATACACGTCGTTGGATTGATGAACTTGATTTAAATACTTCATTTATTCCACAACAACAAAGTCGTGGTGTTGGTCCAATAGGCATGTCACGTGATAGTATTCATGGAGGTACAATATCAGGTAATAATCTTCTACAATCAAGTCATAATCGACGTGGACAACATATGTCAGCATCACAAATAGCTGGTATATCACAAGCAACACCAATTGAAGTTGATTTAAAAGCGAAAATGGCTTCAATAACTATTCAACGTTGGTATCGAAAAATTCGAATGCGACGTAAAATGGCTGAAGCTGCATTAAAAAGGTTTTTGAATATAAAAATGATTTGTTTATTTTTTTTTTTTTGAATATTTATTTTATAAATTACTCTATCATAGAGTACTTGAACAAAAAAAAGTTGAATATCAAGCATCAATAGAACGAACAAAAGACTTAGAAAAATTATCTTTACTTGAACAGAAAAAAAATCGAGAAGATAAACAACGTCAAACACGATTAACAGCACTTAAAGTAAATATTTATTTTTTTCTTAACTTAGAAATAAAATCAGATTGTTTCTTTTTTAATCAGGAAGCACAACAACGAAGAAAACAACAATATGAAAATCATACTAAACTCGATGAACGTCGTCCATCAACACCTAATCATCGACCATCATCAGCTAAACATCGAACAAATCCTGGTTTATCACCATTACCACCATCATCATATGTTGATGAAGTATTTATATTATTATTGCTTTTTTTTTTGTTTAAAACCAAATGATTTATTTGGCTTTTCTTTTTTTTTTCATAAAAGAAAATCACATCTCCTAACTCAACAACATCATCTTCAACATCAAAAGTAACATTAACTGATGTTTACGAAACATTAAGAAAATTAGAAGAAGTCGAACAATTTCCTATTCAATCTACACTTGAAAATGATTCAGGTATGACATGAAAAATCGACAAGTTTGGAACCTGAGGAATTATTGAAAATATTCTTTGATCTATATGGACAATTTTTTTTTGAGAACGGCACTTCCTGATAAACAGAATCTTTGCTATATTTTCGGAAATAGTCTTTTCAAATAAAGCATGCAGCAATTCCAGTCTAGTTATCATTCAGAGAATACTTTTCTCTCTATCATAACCAACAGTAGTCAAATGGCTAATCGTAGCGAACATCAGCGCAATCAAAAAGTTGTAATATATAAAATTTGATTGTGCGTATGAATGTAGGAACTGAATTCATATAATTTAACTAGCTTGACTAAAAAACAAATACTGCTGAACTAGCTCAATGAGTCTCAGTTAATCAGATCATTCAGTTACTGAAATGCCATTTCCAAAGCAGAAGAAAATTTTCCGGAAAGCACAGTATCAGGAAGTGAGTTGTTGAAATAGATCTTGTAATATGATCTGATCTAAATATTGAACACATTGGCTAGCAGATATTCTCCCAATCATATTCAAAAAAAAAAATTTCAATTATATTTCGAAAGTTTTAATCGATTCTTCTAATCAAATCAATATCGAGATCTTCCTAATAAAAAATTGATTTTGAAAAATCATAGTTAAAAATTAATTAATAAATTTCATATTTAATTTAGCTTATTTAATCTATCCAACGTCAGTTTCATCTGTTATCGATGAACTACCACCACCACCACCTCAAGCTCCAAATCGTGTTGATTCAATTTTATCTTATTTAGATGAAGCTAATCGAAATGATGTCATTGTTGAAAGTGTTCGATCACAAAAATCGACAACACGTGAAATATCAACACCTGCTACAGTTCGTTTTACAACTCCACCTCAATCAACTCGACAACAACAACAACAACAACAACCAAAAAAATTATCACAATCAGTTTCTATAACTCAACATCGAGCATCACCATCGGTTGATCAACAAGCTAAACAGGGAACTAAAGTAAATATGATTGAAAAAAAAAATTTCATTTTGAAACATTTCAATGTCAATAAAATATAGATTACAACACCACATAAATCTTTAACGGCTACTGTTCAACCAGTAAAATCAGCTGAAGAAGATATTGAAGATGATGACAGAGAAGCAACTCGAACAGCTCAAGATGTTACAGAAACAGTTTTACAATTAAGAATGGATAATGAAGAAAAACAACGACAATTAATTATTTTTCAACAACGATTAGTAAATGAATATTTGAAAAGAGAAAAAAAAAGAACGAGTATTAAAATTTTCATATTATATTTAGAATCAACAACGTGAATTAAATATTCGTCATGCAAAAGAATCCGAACGTGAATTAGAACATCGTTTACAATTACAAAAAGATGATTATGAAGCTACAATTCAACGTCATTTAACATTTATTGATCAGGTTTGTTAAAAATCTTTTTTTTTTTTCGAGAATCGGAGAGTTGTTCATTGCTTGCTTTTCTTCTTATCACTTATAATTAGCAATTATTTAAAAAAAACTTTATATTTTAATCAAATATCATACAATTAGAAAGAAATCTCTCGATTGAAGGGATGGCCTTATGGAATAAAATACATTTGTTTGTATGTTTTTTTTTGCACGTGTTTGGTCACGTGTCCAACCTGATGCATACATTCAATATTGATATTGTTTTAGCTTGTAAAGTACTATATTATACCAAAAGAGTTCAGTATTCAATAACAAGTTTTTCTTTATTATTATATGATCGATTGTTTATTTTGAATTCTAAACAATGTTTTGCAATAGTCAATTTTTAGTTTTGTATATTCGATTTTAAGATTTGAATGAATAACTAAAGAATTGTAAATCAATAGTATATGTTATACGAAGACTTTTTCTAACATTGGCAAATCATTGGATAAACCATTTTCGTTTTGTATCGAATGTAGCAAATTTTTTTACATCATTCTTTCATTCTTTTTTTAATATTCAAATAGAGAAATAATATTTGATGTTACCTTTTCTTTTAAAGAAGACACAATTTTATTTCTTATAAGTTCTTATTAGCTTTTATTTAAAATGACGCAAACAATTAGTTTTATCGATTGCATTATGAGAGTTTAATAAATAGCATGTAGTCCCTACAAAAATTATTTTCATATTTTATAATGTCCTTTTCAAATTCTAAACAGATAATTAAGACTCGTGGTACATATAATGAGTAGTTAGAGAATTCGTTGAAACTATTCGATTTATCTATGATTACCGTTGAATAAATCTTTGCTGCATCAAAAGAATCAATCTTCAACATCAAATTTTTCCTCGGTCTGGAAACAGTATAAAATAAAAGTACCTTAAGAGTGTATAACTACCGTGATATCCACTTGCTAAGATCTAGTCCCGTTTCTGGATAAAAAATATATATAATGTTCAGTGTATGTCTGTGTCCAGGTCAAAGGTCATCCAGCAGAATTTATCATGCTTAAGAGAATTCTACAACCTTCCATGGTATTCTGGAATCTTCCGAAGTGTCAGAGGCTATACAAGAGTCCAAAATACCTTCAAAAGATTCTGGAATTCTCTTAAGTATGATAAACTCTGCTGGATGACCTTTGACCTGGACACAGACATACACTGAACATTATATATATTTTTTATCCAGAAAAGGGACCAGATCTTAACAAATGGATATCAAGGTAGTTATACACTCTTAAGATACTTTTATTTTATACTGTTTCCAAACCGAGGGAAAATCCATGATTTTTCGACCAGGTCCTTTGCACAGAGATTATCACAATATCAATTGACAAGGTTCGGATCCGAAAATTTTTCACCCGACGGATTCTATCGTTCGCTATAACTATCATTCTCGTCCTTACTCTCAGTTATGTATCAGTCTAGTTCCTTTCATTTGATGATAAAATATATAATAGGATTTGTGAAACAAGTAAATCCTGGAAGCTGTTAATTATATCAGATATAAAGTATGCTTCTAGACTTGATGACAATACAATCAAATCTTAATAATGTATATTTGTATTATTAAAAAGGAAAAATAATATTGATTATAATCAATAGATAATACTCATTTTCACTGGTTCTATATGTAATAGATTTATTATGAATGATTATATTTTGATTATTTTATTTTAGTTAATTGATGATAAAAAGAAATTATCTGAACGATGTGAACGTCTTGTTGCTGAATTGAAAACTATAGATAAAAAATCTAGTGATCGTTTAAAAAACATGGAAGAATCTCATCGAATAGAATTACAAAAATTAAAAGACGTTCATGAAGCTGCTGAAAAATTACGACGTGAACGTTGGATTGATGAAAAAACTAAAAAAATAAAAGAATTAACTGTACGTGGTTTAGAACCTGAAATACAAAAATTAATTGGTAAACATAAAGCTGAATTAGCTAAAATGAAAACAGTTCATGAAGCTGAATTATTAGCTGCTGATGAACGTGCTGCACAACGTTATGTTCGTATGACAGAAGATTTACGTGATCAATTAGAACGTGAAAAAGAATCAGCTATTGCTCGTGAACGAGATTTAGCTCGAGAAAAATATGAAAAAGCTATACGTGATGAAGAAAAATCATTTACTGAACAACGTCGTCGTTTATATACAGAAATTGAAGATGAAAAAAATCGTCAAGCTGAATTAGCAGCTAAACAACGTGCTGATCTTGATAAGTAAAAATGATTTATTTTATTAAATTTAATTTATTTCATATATATATATATTATAGACTTCGACGTGATATTGAAGATAATCATCGAACAGCTGTTGATGCTGCTAAACGTGAATATGAAGCAATACGTTTAGAACAAGAACGACGACATACAAATGAAATAAATGAATTAAAAGAAAAATTACTTTTAGAAAAACAAAGTTGGGAAGAAAATTATATGAAAAAACAAGAAACATTTTTAACTAGTAAAGAACGTGAATTACGAGAACATATGAGACGTGAACGTGATAAAGAAATAGAAAAAATTATTTCACAATTTGAATCAGATACAACAATGACAAAAGAAGAAGCGGAACGTACAGCAGAAAATCGTGTTAAGTAAATAATGAAAATTTTTTTCAAAAAAACAAAATAAATAAATAAATTCATTTGAAAATTTTTTCTTATTATATAGACGTATTCGAGATAAATATGAAGCAGAATTTCGTGAACTTGAACATTCAGAAAAACAAACTAAAGAAAGATATAATCAAATAAAATCACAAATAACAGAAGTTGAAGGTAAATATTCTCTAGAATTTTTTTGCATTAATAATTGATTTTTTTTTAATTTCTAGGTGAAAATGAAAGATTACTAGTTATACTGAGACAAAAAGAAACAGAAATTAATGATATCAAAAAAGTAATTAAAAAAAAAATGTCATTTAGTATAATAATTAGAGCATTGTAAATTTTAGTTCTGTATTTGAGTTATTTGAATTTAACTTAGGTGTGAATGTAGATCTTCTGTTCATCCATAACCATGCTCTATACCGACACTTCACGTTTAAGGAGTAACCGGTCCGATTTCGTTGAAAAAAATTTTATGTGTACTATTTGTTGTTGATAGAACTTGTTGGGTGCAACTTGAGTTGCACTTATCAACATGATTGACTGATGTTGCTTTTGAGATTATGTTTGATTTACTACTGTTCGTTCATATTGTTTCATTTCTTAAAAAGTACAATCAAAACTGTGTGTTACTTGGGTTAAACTTATATCATGCATGTTTTATTGGTGATCAAACTTAATTTTGAATCGCCATTCGAAGAGAAACTTTAGGTTTGTTGGTGAAGATTGATTAGGAAAATTCAAAATTTGAAGTTTAGCAATCATCTAATGAGTAGAGAACTCTTTTAGTGTGCTATAGATAGACATCTCATATTTTCCTTTCTCACAAACCAAACAGATATAAACGACTAGAAGATGATGTTTTTTTTCCAAAGACTTGTGAAAGTCTGAGCGAATAAATGAAAATGAATGTTCTTTGAAGTCATTCCAATTAACCATTTAATAATGAATCGAGAGATCAGTCACTTTTTGCCGTTTTCCATCAGTCTAAAAGATTTTTTGGATTAGTCGAACCGTCTAGATTGTACCAATTCAAAAACTGTCGACTGCTTACAACTCGAGGTTGGTCCCTATTTTTATAATCGGGAAGTTAGTAGATGGATCAGAAACAAGGATCTTTACAAAACAAGTATTCCAAGTAGAACCAACGAAAAAAGTCGACCGAACCGGGCCAGTCGAAAATTTCTTCTATTAATTCAATGGAGGAGAAATTCGTATTGATTAGTATTATTATGATGCAAGCAATAACGAAGAAATAAAGCAATTGTTTCCAAAAGATAGTATTATGCACACAGTGGCGGACGTAAAATATGGGGAAAGGTGTGCTATCATGGTCACAAAATGCGTTTTGAAATCTAATCGTTATTGCACGCACAATAATCGGACTTTAATGACTAATATCTTTCCACTTATGAGACCGGTTCACATTTTTCAGAACAAATCGAATCAATGCTATCTCCGATACGGCAATCGAAGAGAATCTCTATCATAATGCAAGCTTATCTGTAGAGAAGTGTATGAAACTTTCTGCTAATAGTTTTGGAGTTGAATATTGTTGAAGAAATCAAAATTTAGCCGCAAAATTTTGACAAGAAATATTTTCTCTATAACATAAGACTATTCAGAAAATGATCAAATTTTGGATGCGCCAATTAGAGTATCGAAGATAATTGATATTATCTTTGAATGATCTCTGTGATAACTTTGTTATAATATTTTTACTAGATCACTGAGACATTACAAAAGGAACGTGAACGTTTATCGGATATTATTCGACAAGAATTTGCTGATCGACTTGTATTAACTGAAGAAGAAAATCGTCGTATCAAAGGTGATATGGCAGAATTACGTGCACGACAACAAATAGAACTAGACAGGAAAAAAGAAGAAATTGAATTGTTACAACGAGAAAAAGAAAAAGAATTAGAAACTGTACATGAAAAGTAAATTAATAATTTCAATCTAATTTATTTAATACAATTTCTTTATTACGTTTTTTCTTTCTTAAGAATAAAACAAGCAATTAGTAAAAAAGATGAACAAGTTCAAGCGTTACGTGGTCAATTCGAAGCTGCAGTTAAACGAGCTGATCATCTTGAAGGTTTATTAGCACAACAAAGAAAACTAATTGCTGCAGCACCTTCAAATAGCAATAGTGCATCAAAGAAAGCACTACCATCTTGATATATTTGTACAGTGTACTCATAGCCAGATATCTTAAAACACCTGTTTTGTTTTTGTATCTTATATTGATAACAAAAAATAAAAGTCGTGGATTCTACAGAATACATTTAACAGTTCATGTTAAAAGATTTTAATATGCGAATGATAAGAAAACTGAATGCTTTTACATTTAGTGTTTCGATATGAAAACAATTCAGAATCTCAGAATAGAAAAGAAAATTTGTCTTATGGGTTCTTGAAAACTTTAACATTTTCAACACTGAATAATCAGAGTGTGGGTGTGATTGTACACAGTGAAAAATATGTCTAAAAATAACGGAAGAGAACGCATTCATAAAAATGTAGAGACTTGTCTTTTACATGAAGAATGTGTTCTACAGCTTAGCGAGCATTTTTACAAACAAAAAGAAAAGTTCTAAGTCTAAGGGAACTCATTCTTTACTGTTCCATACTAGTACGGAATGCTTTCTTCTCAGTTCAAAAATCGTTCTCTATCTGGACAGAAAGCGTTCTGAACCGTTTCATGAGCCAATAGAACATGTCTCTGCCCATTCTATTTCGAAACAGTCAAGATAGAATTCCATCGAATTGAGACCGCTTTTTTTTAACATTCTCTTGAGAAACATCTGAGAATGGATTCTTTTGACTGATGAACGCTTTCATCTGAATTTAACATCATTTTTGATTCAAAAATGACAGCTCTGAAGTATGACACCCTGAAACTTGTGCCAAAAATGGTGGAACCTTCACTTAGTCATACTTTACAACTGGCAGTTCTGATTCCAAAAAGTTACCTTTTGTTTTGAGAAAAGAAAACGTTCCAAAAAAGCTGGAACAGCTACGAACGCATTCCAAAAAACATGGAATGTGTTCTTAATGGTTCCATTTTGGAACGCTTTCCACTTTTGTTGGAACGTCTTCTTTTCTTAAAAAGTGGCTTTTAATTTTACGGAACGCGTTTTTCCCGTTCTTTCAAGCAAATATTTTTCACTGGATAGTAGCTTTGAAAACAGTCATTTCTAGAAATTTTCATATATTAGCCGTAATTTGATATAAAATTTTTAGGGTGTGGGTGGGTGTGGGTGTGTGGGTGTGGGATGTGGGTGGGGGGCATGGTTTTGGGTGTTACTGTTCTCTTCACCTATACTCACACCCACGCTCACACCCGCCACACGCACACGCACACCCACACCCACCCGCAAACGTTAACGGCACTCGTCCATTTACGGAAGTCGTTAGCGGCGATTGTTGACAGTGACCATTTCATGGAGCGCTTTCGGCCGTCGTATACGGAGTCATACGGCAAACGTTAACGGCACTCGGCCATTTACGGAGGTCGTTTACGGCAATTGTTGACGGTGGCCGTTTACGATGATCGTAATTCATCGGAAATGATCGTTTACTACGACAGTAAACGGTTGTCGTATTTCGCCGTGAATGATCGGTATACGACCGTTTACGACCGATGGTGTTCGATCTGGGTACTTGCATATTTATTTTGAAAGTATTCGCTGTGCATTAAATATTTGGAAAAAAGAACACGAAGCATTTTTCGACAGTATCACTTTATCATCAACTATGCGCTGTTTTATTGTACACTTAAAATTAGTGTATGTTATTTTCTTTCTGACTTATGTTAACATAAAACTTTATCTTATGGAGTCCAAAGTGTATCCAATCACAATTGTAGTTTTTGTGTGACATGAATCATTGAGAATCCTTGAGTATACTGAATGAGTCAATAAATATTTTTCTTCATTATTATATTGACAATATTATTATGATTCAAGACCTTAAAATCATTATTTTCTCTTTCTATTGTTTGCTTCTGAATCATTACTCATTTTAAAGATATTTTCCGGTATGTGTGAGGATAGAAAAGTAGCATATGTAAGTAAATCACACAATACTTGATTTTTCAGTTCCTTTCACTTTCTATGAACAAACAGAAAATAAATATATATGCTTCAATCGAAAATCGAATCCAAGATACGATAACTGGTTAACCGGACCAGTGCTCTAACCATTGAGCTATCGAAGCACGACGAACACAATATTTTTATTTCTGAATAATATTTAATCATCGAAAGTGAAAAATCAAGTATTGTATGATTTAGTTACATATACTCCTTTTCTATCCTTACACATGTATTTACTCTCGATAAGAGGAGAACATTTATGATCATGCTTACAAGGTTAGAAATAGCGTCGCTATATCCATCTACGTCGTATACATCTTATCGACGAAAAATCCTTTCGATGATTAAATATCATTCAGAAATAAAAATATTGTGTTCGTCGTGCTTCGATAGCTCAATGGTTAGAGCACTGGTCCGGTTAACCAGTTATCGTATCTTGGATTCGATTTTCGATTGAAGCATATATATTTATTTTCTGTTTGTTCATCGAAATTGAAAGGAACTGAAAAATCAAGTATCGTATGATTTAGATATTTTCCGATAATTTGAAACCGAAAACGATATTATTTTAAGTATGACTCTTCTCATACACTGCTCGAGTATGAATATTCAACACGTATGAGTGAAACTTATTAGTTTTAAATTTCGCATCTGAATCTATATCTTAGGAAGCACCTGTAGAAAACAAGTAGATCAAATGTTTTCTTCCAATGTTTGTACGAAAGCAGAAACATTTTTAGACGCATTTTTGTCCGTAGAATATATTATACTACATTTATGCGGTTTGCGTGCAGAACAATAATTATTAAAATTTTGGCTGTCTATTTTAGGTTCTTATCAAACAATTGTTTGCCAAGAGATCGAGTTGTATATCTTCGATAGAAAACTATTTCAATTAATCATAATCTTTCAAGAAGTATATAATATTAATGGCTTTATGCTCACGTTATTGTTCTGCTAGTCCATTTTCTTCGTTAGGGAACGATCGAGAAAACTTTCGTCTTATTTGCTGGAATTCCAATAGAAACGACTTTTACAGCAATATAAGTTTGGTAGAAAAAATATCGTTTATCGATAATTATTGCGTATCATTCAAAGATTTAGACACATGTGTCGATTATATTACAGATTTTAAAGATGAACAAATATTTTTAATTATTTCTGGCTCAGTAGAAGATGAAAAACTTATTCTTCTTCTAAATCCAATACCACAAATCAATTCAATTTATTTACTATTATGCGAAGATACTCTCAAACAAGTACAAAATTACGAAAAGTTTCGTGGTATGTTTACTGATATCGATGCGCTTAGTGAAAGATTAAGAAAAGACATTGAACAATATTCATATGAATCATTATCAATAAATTCAATATCATCATCTGATGTAAACTTTACTACTCATGCTACTAATCTAAATCAACAAGAAGCATTTTTCATGTATTCCATATTGATTCGTGATATTTTAGTTGATATGAAACGGAAAAGGAATTCTATCCAAGAAATGATTACATTTTTTCGTCAGCAAAATGCTGGTCAATTCACTACAATCGATGAATTCGAAAAAAACTATTCTCCGAATAAAGCAATTTGGTGGTATACACGTGATTGTTTCATTTATGAAGTTTTAAATCAAGCAGTAAGAACGCTTGACATTGGTACATTGTACAAAATGCAACCTTTTATTAAAGATCTTCATCATCAAATAAAATCAAGTTGTCTCTCATCGACTATCACGACTGTCTATCGAGGACAAGCTATGCGAAGCGAAGAATTTTATAAACATAAAAATAATATTGGTGGTCTTTTATCAATCAACAATTTTTTATCGACAAGTACTGATAAAGAAGTTGGTTTAGCTTTTGCATTTGCAAATATGAATCGTCCATGTTACGAAGCAATTTTATTTGAAATCGAAATCAATCAAGCAGCATCTCATATTTCGGTTGCTAATATAGAAAATTTTAGTTATTTTCAAACTGAAAATGAAGTTTTATTTTCCATGTGTTCGGTATTTCGAATTAAATCGATTATAAAAATGGACAATGGTATTTGGAATTTTCAAGTAACATTAACCGGAGATGAAGACAAACAAATAAAATCGTTAACTCTGTGTATGAAAGAAATAATTGGTAATAATAATACATTGGGAACTTTA